CACCTAATGACTGTGAAGCCCCCGGGGCTGGAGGCAGGAGAGCTGAAGTGGAATCTCGGGGAGAGGGGTGGTCCCTGTAAAAATGGGCGAAGGCGTCAAACACATTTGAGGCAGGAGATAAGCAGAGAACAGGCTCATGATCAGAGCAGGTAGGAAGACAGCCCGCGGGGACGCATCTGCCAACCACGGAGGTCTTTGGAGATTTCAGAACCAGGCAGTTCCAAGTCAGGTAATAGCAGCGCCACCGCGATGTGTTTAACAATACCCACCAGCGGCTCTCTCTCCCCTGACACTGTTCTCCTTCCCTCTGCTGCCCCGCCCACCAGGGGAGCCCTCATGGGAGGGCAGGACAGGTGCCACAGGGGTTTCTAAGGCGTGGCCTCGGGGGGCACCGAGAAGATTTGGGGCGCAGGTGGCGTTTGGTGGGAGGTTCGAGGAGAGAGGGCTTTCTCTTGCGCGAGGAGAAGGTCCCTGGGCCAGGGGTGGTGGGAGGGACATCTGTGCAGAGCTAAGGCGCAGGGTGGGCCGCAGAGGGTCTGGTCCTGCGCCCTGTGTCCCAGGGGCAGGAGGCCGGTGCCATCCCCAGAGGCTTGCACAGCTTTGCAGGGACCCTGAGCCACAGCGGCCCCACACAGAGCAAAGGGTTCCCGTGTCCCCCAAGGCCCGTGGCTGCTGCGGGGAGCCAGGGGGCCCAGGGCAGAAAGGGGTGCAGAGCCCACACTTGGGGCTTCCTGTGGCACCGCCCGGGGGCAGAGGGCGCATTCCAAAGGGGCTGGGCTGAGGCCGTCCTGGAGGAAGGCGCTATCGATGAGGACATTGAGTTACTATAAGAAATGTTTATGATGGGGGGGGAGGTTAGGGTTATTGGGGGGATGAGGACACATTTGTAATACCTTAACCAATAAAGAAATTAAAGATAAAAAAAGAGAAAAGTTTATGAGAGTAAAGTTGCGGACCGTTTTCTGTGCCGGCCGCGAGTGGAGCCGGGATTTCCAGGCCCGAGAGCGTGCACTGGGGACGGGTTATGGTCCCTCAGAGGAGAGGAGAGCCGATGTGAGGCGGAGGCCAGGGCCGGGCAGGGAGCTGGTGGGCAGAGAGGAAGCAGACGCGTGGAAGTGAGTGGCGTTCGGAAAGCCGGGTGGGCTGTGCAGAAACCAGGTTTCAAAGGGCGTCACCGACTCCTCAAGCCCCAGTCAGACCCAGAGAAAGTAGCAGAGGGAGGAAGGAGAGGAGGGGTTGTGGTGGGTGGGAAGCAAAGGAAGGGTGCCTTGTTGGGACCCAAAGAAGAGATTAAATTCAGGAGAATTTTCTAGAAGAAAAGAAAGACGTAACCTTAAGGGCTGTAGCTCCGTTCCTGAGAGTTGGGGCTGGAAGGACATTCTCAGGCTCTTTGGGAAGACAGGCCGAACCCACACAACACACAGGCCCAGACCTTGTGGAGGGTTTGGAGCCCGGTTTCTTGCCCTCTTGTAAAAAGCGCACACGCAATTTTTACCAAATACAACCACATACAATAAGCGGTTTCATTTCAATCTATCAAAAGGGAAGTTTCTTTAGCTCATTCTAACAAGTATTTTCTGATTGAACCCCAGGTGGAGGAAGGAATATAGACAAAGCTTTACATGCTAATTACCAGTGGCAGGTACCTGTATTTAAAATTGACAATTAGGGTTTTCCTACACAAAACCCCAGTGCCCCCTTCCCCAGCAACCCCAGGTGCGACAGTTCCATGGCTGGCCAGTTAGAAGCAGTGTCACTGTTGTCAAGGTCCCTTTGTTCCGGTAGCTTTGCTTCTACTGCACTTTGTCTGACGTGCAGAAGTTAAGTTTTGGTTGGAGTCTGTCCCAAGTTTCAAACTGTCACTTTAAATTTTTTTGAAGTTTCTTTCATTCTATTTATAAAAGAAAAGAACCAGTTCTTCACCATTCTGCATCTCCAAAGGCTTTGGCAAATATATAATCTCTTCCATTAAGATTCATAATGCCATCCTTGAGTAGAAATCTCCATTTGTTTTTACTTCTGAGTACCTTCTCAAATTGGCAGACAACCACATGTTCAGTATCAAAGACTTCCTGTCCTTCCTCATCGCTCAGATCATCCTCACTATTGAGGGGCTCCTCTGCTACCTGCCCACCTTCCGCTCCATCATTCTCTTTGTCTTCCTCCTTATTGTCATCATCGTCTTCTTCCTCATCTTCATCTTCTTCCGATGATGTATCCCCAGTTCCATCGACTTGCAGTGCCAGCGGGGCCCCTTGTTGGGCAGGCTGGGCCTGTGGTCGCTGTTGGCCAGTCGCAGTTACCTGCGCTGGTGCTGGTGTAGGTGCCGCCACTGTTGGAGGTATGACTTGAGTCTGATTTCCTGTAAATAAGATTTGCTGGGGCTGGATGCTGACACCTGTCGGTGGTGAAATCCCGCCAGGAAGAGGGGCCAAAACCTGTTTTATGACAAGAGCCTGTCCTCCACCAGGCTGCATTGGTGGTATAGCCTGTTGTTGTAGAACCACGGACTGCTGAGGCTGAACAATATACTGAGCGCCATTGGCGGCTCTGACCACTTGAAGAAGCTGGCCTGAATTTGTCAATATCTGTTGGACAGGAGTCACCCCTGCAGGGAGTGCTACGGGGGCAGCGGTAGCAGCAGCACTCGTGTTTGATGCCTTCATACGCTGTATCAGCTGAGCACCAGGAGCAATAACTTGTGGTGCTGCAGGAATAAGGACCCGCGGAGTCTGTGCTCGCTGAGGCTTCCTCCTCATTGTCATCATCGTCTTCTTCCTCATCTTCATCTTCTTCCGATGATGTATCCCCAGTTCCATCAACTTGCAATGCCAGCGGGGCCTGTTGTTGGGCAGGCTGGGCCTGTGGTTGCTGTTGGCCAGTCGCGGTTACCTGCGCTGGTGCTGGTGATGATGGTGCCGCCGCTGTTGGAGGTATAACTTGAGTCTGATTTCCTGTAAATAAGATTTGCTGAGGCTGGATGCTGACACCTGTCGGTGGTGAAATCCCGCCAGGAAGAGGGGCCAAAACCTGTTTTATGACAAGAGCCTGTCCTCCACCAGGCTGCATTGGTGGTATAGCCTGTTGTTGTAGAACCACGGACTGCTGAGGCTGAACAATATACTGAGCGCCATTGGCGGCTCTGACCACTTGAAGAAGCTGGCCTGAATTTGTCAATATCTGTTGGACAGGAGTCACCCCTGCAGGGAGTGCTACGGGGGCAGCGGTAGCAGCAGCACTCGTGTTTGATGCCTTCATACGCTGTATCAGCTGAGCACCAGGAGCAATAACTTGTGGTGCTGCAGGAATAAGGACCCGCGGAGTCTGTGCTCGCTGAGGCACCGTAGGCTGTGGTTGAGCTTGCTGCTGCTGGTGGTGGTGATGCTGCTGCTGCTGTTGAACTTGCAATAAGAGCTGCTGCTCTTCTGAAGGAAATCTATCGAGTGCCCTAGACTGCATTAGTTTATTCTCCCATAGAGTTTTTAGTTCCATCAGAACTTGCTCATCGACTCCATCATCCAAAAAGATGTCTCTCACGTCATTAATAACATCTTCGATCACGGATCTGTATAATTTAGACACGGTGTTTGTATTTGCCGAGTTCGCCATTTCCACACACAACACAAACAAGACAGGGGACAACCCCGAGAAAACAAGCTAAAAAACAAAACCAAAGGGGAAAAAAAAAGAAAACAAAATCCCTGAGAGAGACCCA